CAGGGCTCAAAATTGCTCAAAAAATTAAGGTTGGAAAGTATAATCACAGCAGCCTGTTTCTCTAGGAAATGCCCAAAAAGCATACCATGAAACTTTACAGTCCATCTCTTATTTACATACTCAGGCTGTTACTAAACAATTTACTATCACTACCTGAATTTGGATGCCAGTTTACTTCCTCCCCGTGTTATTCTGACAATCCAATCCCCAAGCTTACCCAGGAAGTAATCCCCCTACACAGGGTCTGATCTTGCCTTCTTTTAAATACCCTCTACACTTTGTGCCTCACTTGTAACAGCCAGGAACCTCACGCATACTGAAAAGATGTTTGGTTGATAATGGTGGGAATAAATACTGCCAAACCAGTCAGAATCCTGTTTCAGATCAATCCATAGTTCATTTGTGGCATATCCGCTACTGATCTCGTTAGAATCCTTACAAGACATGAGTCATTATGTCTCCTAAAATATCACCAGGGGAGATTCAAATTAAAACTTTCAAAATCCCAAGTAAGTATTCTCAGAAGTCTCAAGCAAGTTAATGCACCAACCATTCTGGCCTGGTAATTCCAGATACTAGGGAGGTTGAGGCAAGTTTGAGGTCAGTCTGGACAACTTAATAAGACTGTGTCTCAAAATAAAATAAAAAGGGGTCAGGCGTGGTGGCGCATGCCTGTGATCCCAACACTCTGGAGGCTAAGGCAGGAGAATCACTGAATTGTAGGCTAGCCTGAGCTATACAGTAAATTCAAGGCCTGGCTAGAATATGGTACGTAGGAAAAAAAAGAAAGAAAGAAAGAAAGGAAAGAGAGGAAAGAGAGGAAAGAAAGGAAAGAAAGGAAAGAAAGAAAGAAAGAAAGAAAGAAAGAAAGAAAGAAAAGAAAAGAAAAGAAAAGAAAAGAAAAGAAAAGAGAAGAGAAAAGAAAAGAAATCCAAATAATATATAAAACACCAGAACACTTACCTACCATGTATGAGGCCCAGAATTCAATCCCCAGTAATGTAAAAAGAAAATAAAATTCTATTTCAAGTATAACTTTTTTCTCAATTAACAAATGTACCACACAAACTATATTGAGTTGGATGTGGTGGTACACACCTGTAATCCCACCACTTGGGAGGCGGAGGCACAAGTTCAAGGCCAGTCTAAACTACATAGTGAGCTAAAGATTAGCATGCACTACACAGTCGAACACTGTCTCAAAAAAACTAAAAACTAAAAAAAATTTCTATATAATCCTTCATAATATATTGGTCAACTATGCCTACTGGCCAAAATAACTCTAAATTTAAAAAATAAAATAAAAACTTTATTCAGCCAAATGCCCCTAGCTTATGTGAAGTGAGATGATTTCAATTGTCTATTAGTAAACTGACATCCTACTTTAAGATGTCACATGTTAGGTGCATATTTAAAATTGTCTATAAAAGAAAAACAATGATGGGGCCGGGGATTTAGGTGGTTCTGCCACCTTCTTCTCAAGCGCAAGGTCCCGAGTTCGATCCCTGGTACCACCAAAAAATAAATAAATAAAGACATAAATAAATAAAATCCTGTATGGGCTTACTCCCAACATAAAAAAAAAAAGAAGAAAAACAATGAATAAACATTTTTGAATCTATGGCTAGCAATGTTAACCAACATCTTTGCATCAACAGTTATGTTATTTGGGGCCAGGGATTTAGGCACCATTCCTGCCTCTTAAATGCAAGGTCCTGAGTTCAATGCCCAGTACCAAACAAAACAAAACCAGTTATGTTACCTGAAAAGTAACAGGATGAATGAGATTTGTTTGGTTTTGTTTTGGGGCCAGTTTTTTTTTTTTGGTACTGGGGATCGAATTTGGGTCCTTTCCCTTGTGAAGCAGGGCGACAGCATCACTAAGTTAACTCCCTGGGCCACCAATTATATTTTTGTATTGTTCTTGAGTTATCTTAAACCATGTACACATATATACATTTACTGAGTCTTCCTACCAGGAAGTGGTGACAATAAAACGAATGAAGGCTTGCCTTAGCCTCCTGAGGCAGGAGAATTGTCATAAATTTGAGGCCATCCTGGTCTACACAGTAACTTCGAGTCCAATCTGAGCTACAAAGCGAGACTATTACAAATCCCTCCACCCAAAAAAACCCAAAAACTAATGAAACCGCACTTAGCCTACACAACTCATAGTCATGCACTATTACTCATTCTATGCAAATGGACATATTTTAAAAGAACACAAAATGTAGCACCCATCTTACCATAATCTTGAAAAATAATGCGTATCAAAGGGTTAATTTTATTTTTTTAAGTTAATTTTATATTCTACAAAGAAAGGAAAATGCCTGGCAAGCAACTAAAAACAAAATGAATTCTGTTATTAGAAATGTTCACTGGGCAAATAAATTGCCTATGAAAATTTGGGCCGGAGATTTAGCTCAGGGGCACCATGCCTGCCTCAGAAGCACAAGGTCCCAAATTCAATCCCTAGCACCACACACACACAAACTAATTGGATAATTTCTAGGTTTTTGTAGTTGTTGTTGCTGTTTTTTTGAGACAGGGTCTCACTCTGCAGTTCAGGCTGGCTTTGAACTCACAGCGATCCTCCTGCCTCAGCCCCCAGAGTGCTAGGTTACAGGTTAGCATGCCCAGCTGCTAACTTTTAGTTTTAGATTACCGCAGCCACCATAAAATGATCAAACTTTCATCTATTACAAATTCGTGAATGTGGTAGGAACTGTAAGAGGAACAAAATCAATACCTATCCCTCAGAGCTAGTCACTTCTATAGTTACAGGACAAATACACACAAGATAGCTACAGTGCCATTAGGAGAAGCAAAGTAGCTGGGTATGGTGGCATTTACCTGTGACCCCAACACTATGGAGGGTGAAGCAGGAGTAACTTTGAGCCCTCAGTGGGCAATGTAGCAACTTATCAAGACTGTCTCAAAATAAAAATTAAAGGGTGGAGGATTTGGCTCCGTGGTTCCGCTGCCTGCCTTGCAAGCACCTGGGCCAGAGTTTGATCCCTGGTACCACACACACACACACACAAATTAGAAAATAAAAATGAAAAAAGAGTATAAAGACCCTTGGTTCAATGCCCAGTACAGAAGAAAAAAAAAAAAAAAGAAAGTCAATCAGATGTATCTTAATATAAGATGTATTCTAATGTACAAGGTTTTTTTAGTTTGTTTTTTTTAAGAAAACCAAGTCACAAATTCTAATTTAAGTCAGCATACAAACAACCATCCATTTTAGACATTATTTGCTAGGCTTGCAAGTAGGAATTAAAGTTCCTGCCCTAAGTGCCTTGGTTCTAACGTGAAAAAACTTCCTCCACTCGTGTATGTAATTCAGTCCCCATGTTTCAATTCCAAGCTCTCAGTACAGTAGGCCATCATGTGATCTAAGGCAAACCTATTACTACAAAAGACGCACTATAGCAAAATTGGTTAGAAATAAAAACTTAGGAGCAGTCCCTTCTGCGTGCGAGATAAACACACTTGACACTTGATTTGTCCCCTTCACTCTCCCCGGCCAGTTCCTCACACCCCCACAACCAAGACAGGAGACTTACAGTCACGCAGAAGAAATCACCTTCTCTCATTTGAGGTTAGGACATTCCAAATGGGTCTACATTTGGCTTAATACACATTCTTTTCCCAATAAGAATGTTGGCATTTACCAAAAACGGAACATTCGAGTATAACATACTACCCTGGTCTGTCTGAAAATGATACGACACATACTGTTTTCTTCAGATCCTCACCTTTCTTCGCAAACTTTATGTAGTAAGGGCTCTTAAAAGCAGATTCTAATGTACTTAAGTCGGGTTAACAAAAATATAAAGGAAAAGCCTGACAGGTTGTTGCTAAAAGTTATTTTTTTCTCTCACAATTTAGTAAATGCAACTATGTATTTAATATAAAGCAGTAATTGGATGTTGTTTTGTTTTAAACAAAATGCTTCTCCGCATCAGCTTGGAGAAACTTTCTGTGAGAAAACAGGAGAAAAGTAACCAGGGAGAAATTCACTGCCAATACAAAGAGGCCTTTTTCCTCAGAAATACAATGAAAATATCATTCTGCAGTAAAGCTGATGTTTCTGTGTGACTTCAAAAGTTCATCTGATCAAGTACACATCTCCCGCAACAGGTGCCACAAAATTGCATTTCTCAAGCAAAGAAGAGCAAAGCAAAGCCAAGGGATCAAATTGTTAGGATGCGCGTCCCCGAGGTTTCGTACTTTTATTTTTGGATTTAACCAAAACGATTTTGAATTGGATGGATTACCAATTTTAGTTTCGTTTGGTTTAGTTTTCTGCTTTGCTTTTTAATCAGCCGTTGACCAGCAATTGTTGCGCGCGTCCATCAGCCCTCGACGAATACAAACACAGGACCAGATAAGGCTCCACTACTAACCCAAATCATCGTTTCCTTAACTCAATTTCTAAATCACACAGCTAGGGGTGGATGGGAAGTATGTTTGGTGCGCGTGTGTTCAGGTGTCACGATCTAAACCCTGAAGTCCCTTTTAAGGGGAAGACAGGAATAAAAATCTACAAGAAACCACGTTAGAAATGCGAAGAGGTTTGCAAAACAAGAGGCTTCTTTCATTCCAAAAAGTCCACAGCAAAACAAGGGGACAAAAATGAACGCCACGGATCTGCGTGTACCAAAGTTTCAGTCCTGCCCGGGGGAGACACTGCACTGGCACAAATTTCACTGGAAAAACAGGGGAGTAGGGGGAGAGTAACACAGCGAGTGAGTGTGTGGCCTGCAAACTGCAACAATGCAATCTCCATTTTGAACAATGCGCCTCTTTCCTCTTGTAAATCTAGTTTTTTGCCACTTGATGTGCCATCGCGTTTCCCTTCCGTTTGGGGGGCAGGCGGGGGTGGGGGGAGATGGGAGCGGGCTGCACTGCACTCGGGAGGGAGCGAGCCGGGGGAGGGGAGAGGGGGGGGGGAGGGGGGGGAGGGGTCGGCGGCGGCCGGGCTGGGTGGGTACCTGGAGTGCTGCTGTAGGTGCTATGGCTCCTGAAGCTGCTTTCCGTGCAGTAACTCGCGTCGTCGTCATCGTCTTCCATCTCCTCCGGATAATCGGAGTCATCGTCGTCCTCCTCCATCTCATCTTCGTCGTCGTCCTCCGAATCCTGGGTCTCCTCGGCGTCGCCGTCCTCCTCCTCCTCTTCGGAGACCATGTCCTCCTCTTCCTCCTCCTCCTCGCTCTCGTGGT